TTGATTATGCGAGGAGAGTGAAAGGAACCCATCAAATATTCTGGGAGTTCAGAAAAGGGAAAAGTCACTGGGATGGGGCCTATGGGGAAGGCAGCCTGGAGGAAGTGGTGCTTTGGGCACGGAAGGATGGGCAGGGTTCTGATGGTGTCACCCCGCTGGGGAAAGTTTGGGGTGAGGCAGCGCATGCCCTCCCACATGCATCTCTGTGACCTCTGGCCTTTGCTGGGCAGTTTCTTCATCTGTGAAGTCGGACTCTACAGCTCCCCGATGACAGGGCTGTGCTGAGGAGGACTGAGGCCACGAGAGCGGCTGGGGCTGAGGAGGAAGAGCCCTGGCAAGCGGGAGAGTTGCCGTGTGTGTGGCAGGCTGAGTGGCTCCCTCCAGGGACACGGGCATGTGTGTGTGCACATGTTTGTGTGTGTGTGTGTGTGTGTGTGTGTGTGTGTGTGTGTGTGTGTGTGAGAGAGAGAAGCAGTAGGTGTGAGGAGCTGCCTAAAGGAGGCCCAGAGGTGGCATCCGTGTAGCCCCTTCCCCACCATACCACACTGGCTCCCACCAGGCCCAGGGCACTCCTCAGCCTGGCGCTAACCCACGGCTGTCTGGATGCCTCCCCCAGCCCCCTAGCGTGGTGAGGTCAGGGAACATGTATTCCAGGAATGCGGGAGGCGGGGCGGCCGGCACGTCTGGATAACCATCGGGGTAAATATTTGCCTTGCTCCTGGAGCCAGCACTGGCCGCCAGGGAAGGACAGGGCCTGCTCCAGGGTCACGCAAGGGGAGGCCTCCCCGGTGGGTCTCAGGTGCGGGAGCCCGTGTCACCCCAGAGAGCCTGGGAGCTGGGTCAGAGGCCACCCTTCCTGCGGGGGGCCAGAGGCAGAGCCCCTGGCTGTTTGACCCCTGACCAGCAGCTGCTTGGCCATCTGTAAAATGGGCATAGAGACAGCTGTGATCCAGCGAGGCGAGGCAGGTCAGAGTGGCCAGAGCTGGTTCGGGTCAGGTCAGCCAGTGGAGCAGCAGGTTAGGGCTGGTTTGGGTGCTCACCTGACCAGTTTCTGGCCCATAGTTGGCCACTTAAGACCTTGAGCAGTTACCCTCCCCCGAACTTTAACAGTCACCATTCGCTGACCTGTCCCTTACTCCGTGGCACCCGTATCTACACACCCAATGTCTCATTAAGCTCTCACAGCCACCAGGGCACGAGGGGCACGTATGTGTCATTTAGCAGCAGGTGACAGGAGCCCTGAACTCTGACTGACTGATGCCATCAGTGTACCCCCTGCTGTATAGACCTCACTGGGGCAGTCCTACTCCTTCCCCCAGTTACCTACAGCCTGGAGCCTCCCTTGGTGGGTGAGTAGCTGGAGGAGCAATTAATCCTTGTTTAGAGCAAAGATGGGGGCTCAGAGATGCCCAAAACTTGCTCAAGGTCACCCAGAAATAAAGGGCAAGCAGGGAATCAAACCCGGCTCTACCCACCTTTTCCCTTGACCTCCCCACTAAAGACAGGGCAGGGCTCCAGCCCGAATGTGGGCTCCCACCCGTGGCAGCTGTAGAGAAAAACTGGACACTTAGCGCAGGCTAGAGCCACAGCACCAGCCTTCCTGGTGCCCCACATCCTGGACACCCTGAGGCACAGGCACCTCTGTCCTGCAGGGATCCGGGACCAGCCTGCATCACTCTGGGCCAGCCCCAGCCACAGCCACAGCCAGCCTGGCTTGGTGCCTCCCCGAAGCCCACACCCTGCTCTTCCCAGGGGATCCCAGGAGCCAGAGGGGATGGGAAGGTGGGTGTGGACGCATCTGGGTCCTGGGACAGTCGCCAATCCAAGTGACCTCTGCCATGTTCCAGTCCCCATCTTACTCTTACAGGGTGGACACTGTTACTGCCTTGCCCTGCCCTGGGAGCTCCTGGCATGCAGTGAGAGTGAGAGCACGGTTCAGTCTGCGGTCTGCACGCTGCCCTTCCTGTCTTCACAGTCACTAGGGCCTCACCCCTCCACCCACCCCCAGAGTGAGAGTCCTGCACTGAGGAGCCCACAAGAGTCCTCAGTGGATGAGAGGATGGGGGGACGGGGGGGGGGGACCATCCCAAAGGGAGTCCGGTTGGGCCCCACCCCCGCTATGCCCTGAGGCTCAGGCTACACCCATTCCATGGCTCCAGTGCCTTTTGAGCAGAGAACACCCCCCTGCAGGGGACCCACATGTTTATGGCTGTGGTCGGTCAGGCTGTGAGCAGGACACCGGTTCATCCCACTGTCTCTCCTTGGTCTCACCAGATGGCCAAGCCCACACCAGGTGTGAGCCACACCTGAGGTCACTGAGCGAGGGGATGGACGATATTGCCACTGTTCATAGCCTGACCCAAGCCTGAGCCCCCGCCTGACTGGGCACCCAGTGGGAGGGGGTGCCCGCACGGTGGCAGGGAAGCCTGCGTGCCCAGCCCTGGTTCTGAGCTCCCTGCTGGTCGCCTGGTAGTGGGCAGAGTATGAGTGGGGACAGACCACCTGCTCATGTCATAGCTCTGTTCTTATCATGTTCTAGCTCCTTGTTACCTATGTGTGACCTTAGGAAGTTAGGGGACCTCTCTGGGCCCGAGTGTCATTGGGGGATGCTAGCTCAGTTTCTGCCTCATTGCTTTTCACTGGTGGTCAAAGAAGCATCCCAGGCAGAGCCCACTATACAACTCAGCCAAGGCGAGCGTCCCACCCCTCTGTCTCCCCAGGTGGGGGGCCAATGCAGGCCCGTGAGGAAGGGGGTCAGACCCCCACCAGCGCCTGAGCTCTTATCCTGGTGCCCCTGTGTGGTGCCCTCACTATGTGACCTTGGCCAGGTCTGTTTGTCCCTTTGCCCGGGCCCACACCAAAGAACTGGCGCTGGGGGCAGCGCGGGGCACGTGTGCACCGTGAGCCGGGTCACCTCGGAGGCAGGATGGTTGGCATCATTCCCTGAGGCCTGGATGATGCCCACGGAGTGAGCGAGCACTTTCCGGCTCAGGCTTCTGTCTCAGCTGCAAAAATAATTATTTCCTCTTTGTCAGCGGGTCCGCGGGCCAGCTCGCCTTTAAGAAAGGCCCAAGCTAGGGGCTGATTCCACTTCTGCCCCAGCCTCTGACTTGCTTCATGACAGTGGGATGGGGCAATCGCCGCCCCTCTCCAGGCCTGTTTTCTTCTCTGTGAAATGGGAGCAGGAGTCAGTGAACCCAAGGGCCATCTGTGTTCCCATGGTGCAGAGTATGGGGCTGCCAGGGCCCGAGGGTCAGGACACGGAGACATCCCTCCATTCTGGGGTGCGGATGGCAGCTCTGAGGGCTTGGGGCTCAGACCCGCGCACCATGGAGCCCCGAGCCAGCCGCTGCCAGGTACCGTAATTCATGCTTCAGCTGACAGGCCTGGACAGCTGCTTGCGTGTCCACAGTCGTGAACCTAATACAGTCCTTACAGCCCCGAGGGAGGTCTCCTATCATCCCCACACCCTTCCCACAGATGAGGAAGCTGAGGCACAGAGAGGTTTAAGGAATTTGCCCAAAGCCACCCACTTCCTAAGAGGATGAACCCAGGACTTGAACCAGATCGTTCTTATTACTGAGCCCACACCTCCCAACGCCAGGCTGTGTGGTGCCTCTTATAGGGGGGCATCCACTTCTCTCCCTGGGAGCCCTGCCTGCTGCCCAGGGAGGTGTGGCCTGGTCTGAGGCCTCTCCATCCCCTGGCACAGGTGGGAGCCCACGTTTAGCATGGAGTGTGCACTCCCTCTCCCACTGTTGGCCACGGGCCTCCTCCTGGGCTGCGCTCATGCCTGCATGCAGGTGTAGGGAACATGGTGACTGCGGGAGCCACCCACAGGGCACCTTCACAGCTGGGACTCAGACGTCTGCAGCTCCCACCACAGCAGGCCTGTGGGGTCCTCCTCCTGGAGCGCTGGGGGGCAGTGAGGGGCGGGGAGTACTGGTGGCCCATTGAGAAGAGGGGCCAGCTGGACCCGCGTACCAAATAATCATGTCCCTTCAGCCCACTGCTGCCTTGAAGCCCAAGCCACTGATGTGAAGGGGTTATCCGTGCCTCTTCCCTCCCTCTCTCACACCCCATACCCAGCACCCGCAGGTCCACTTCTGTCTTCTGCGCCCTCTGCTCTGAGCACCTGTCTCTGGCCTAGGCCGCCCCACTGGTTTCCCTGCCTCCTGCTGTCCCTCCCAAGGCCTTCCTCCCCAGCAGCATGGAGAGCCTCTCAAACCAGAACTCAGAACTCGGGTCATATCCCTCAGACCCTCCTGTGCTCCTGTCCACTTTCTCGACAGCTGGCCCTGCCTCCTCCCCTCCCCCTCCCTGACTGCACCCACCACACCACCCACTCTCAAGTCTTCCGCTGGGCCAGGCTTTCCCCCATCGTGGAGTCTCCACATATACTGTTCGCTCTGCGAGAAATGCTGTTCCCTGCATCTTGGCCTGCCTCTCTCAGGCTCATCCTTCAACTTCGCTTCCCCAGAGAGGGCCCCTGAGCCCCGAGTCTATGCTGCACAGCCCCTGGACTCATTCTTTCTGGCAGACACCACTTTTATTACGTATCTGCTCATTATCAGAATGTTATGAGGGCAGGTCCACTATCCTGTTCACAGCTCTGGTGTGTGAAGTATTTGAGTGAATGAATGAATGCCAAGTGCTCTGTCACCATATATCCTTAGATCCTCTCAGAGCCCCCGGGATCCTGATATCTGAGGTATCGCAATCCCATTAGACAGGTGGAAACGGAAACGCAGAGCGGCCAGGAGCCTGTTCACAGTTCATAGCTGGTAGCTGACCGATGTGGGTGCCAGGGGCCTGTTTGCGTCACGATGCCCCTTTTCCTCTTGGTCCTTCAGAGTCCCCGGGGCAGGGGAGGGGGGGGGGTGTGATTCAGCTTTGCCGGCAGTAAACGTTTCAGCGGGTGGGCGGCTGGGCCGTGGCAGCGTGCTCAGTTCCCGCTTTGCGGGGCGTGGACCCGCTGACCACCCTTCTCGTTGCCGCAGGATGGACATGGAGTGAGGCGGAGGCGCCGCGAACTGCTGACTTACCAGAACGTGGGACGCTGGTGATTCTTGGGTCACTGAGGTAGGTGTGCAGCTGGGCCTGGCCTGCTGCTTGGGGAGGGACAGTGGTGCCCAGCACACTGAGCCTTTCACTGGGGCCACAGTGGCAGGGGGTACAGCCACCCTGCTGAGGCCTTGTCAGACCCTGAGAGGGCCCCCAGGGGCCTCCTAGGCCTAATCTCTCTGGAGAGGCTGCGAGGGCAGGGGTGGTGGGATGCGCCCAGGAAAGGGGCAGCTTGGGTGTCCCCAGCCTTGGCACAGCAGCTGTCTGTACCACTCTGCGCCCCGTGTCATGTGGGCCTCGGGCACTGGGCACCATGGTAGCCACGCAGGAAGAGGCCTGGGTGAGCGGAGGCTGGTTACCGGCCTGGGTGCTGTGGCTGCCCACCCTCCTCTCCCACAAACACACCGAGGTGGGCACATGAGCGCTCGCACGTCTCTGGGTGCTGGGGTCGGAGTGCCTGCCTCAAATCCCAGCTCTGCCACTTGTCCACCATGAGCTTGTGCAGTTCCTCTGTGCCTCAGTTTACCTGTCTATGAAAGAAGGATGGGGATCGCAGCACCTGCCCCCCATGGGGAGGGGACAGGGGACAGGCACACCTAAATAAGTAAATGCTCAGGGTATGTCAGCGTTTTCCTCGCGGATGCTGGGGCCCTTGCTTCTTCCCACGTGCCTCAGTTTCCACCACCCCCTCCTCCCTGAGGACCCACAAATGCCAGGATGGACACAAACTGGTCCTCCAGCCTAGGAGGGGGCTGGCCCCTCAGAGAACTTGCAGGCCTCGGGCCTGGACACCAGCGTGTTTTATCACCAAGTGGCATTTCTGGGTTGATCGCACTTGGCCTTGTGCTCGAGGGCGACCTGGGTGATCCCTCCCTGTAGCTCCTGACCCAGGGATGAGAAGCCTCACAAAGAGCTCACGTGGGCCAGGGCCCTTTGTCCCAAGGCTCTGGGGCCCAGCGTGGGGAGCCGTAGCCTTCGCCCTGACATGAGGCCGTGCCGATGCGTCTCCCTGCTGCCCTCGGCTTCTCTCCTCGGGCTCCACTGCTCCCAGGTGCTGAGAGGCTGGGCCAGGGGAGCCCCGGGGATTCTCCTTGCTTCACTCCGGCTCCGGAACCAGGGAGCAGTACTTGGCCCTTCTTCTTGCTGCCAGCTGTGTGACCTTGGGTTAGTCCTTTTCCTTCTAGGACAGTCAGTTCTCATCTGAAAATGAAGATAAATTATACCAACGTTGCTGAGAGGGCTGGTGTGAGGGGGCTTAGGAGCTGGTGTATTTTAGATGTTGTAGCTGGTGAGATTGTACGTGTACCAGGCACTCTGTGCCTTGGATATATGTTTCTCCCCCAGTTCCCCCGAGGAGGCGTGTTTAGTGCCTCCCTCGCCAGAGGCCCAAAGTGGTTAAGAACCCATGGAGTTTTAAGTGGTGGAGTGGGGATTTGAACCGCGGTCCCTTGGAATTAAACATCACGTGATGCCTTAGAGGCGGGGGCAGAGCCACGGGCAGACTCACGGTAGGTGCTCAGGAAACCACCTCTGTTACTGCCTTGCAGCCTTTGCCCAGGCCTCCGAGCCGGCTGACCTCAGAGCCAGAGGGTGGCCCCGAAGGCTGGCAGCCTGCCCCTCCCCGAGGGCCTGCCCGCAACGCAATAAGGCCGCGGGAACCCACTGCTAATTGTGAGGTAACCTTTGAAATTCTCCTTCACGGTGGGTTCTCTTTTCGGATGTTTTTCAAGGTAATTCATTCCCTTTCCAGAAATTGCCAGTGGCGGAGCATTAGGCAGCTGGTAATTAATCATAGGAGCGGCTTGGAGTGTATTCTTTAAAAAAAAAAAAAAAAAGGAGAAACAGAAAGCCTTGGTGGAAAAAGAAAAGAAATCCACTCCAGGGCGAGGTGGTAATCAATACCTCTGTGTCCTAGAAATGCTGGGGACGGGAATGGCAGGTGGGCGGCTTCTCCCTTTCTTCCCGGGGCGGGCAGGTGGCCCGCAGCAGCAGCACGCGAGAGGCTCTGCCCAGGACCACCGGCTCCCTGTGTGACTTTGAGCAGGTCGCTGCCTTTCCTGGACTCAGCATTGCCTCCTGTGAAATGGGTGAAAGGCCGGTGTCCGACTAGAACAGAATATTAAATGATTATACTTGCTCACTACACATCCTAGTGCCTGGCACATGGCAGTGCTCAGTTGACACTTTATTAATTGAATGAAAGGTTATCTTGGGTCCTAGTGAGCTATCCTAAGTCAAGGATGGAGGACATCTTTTCTCTAGATCTATTATAATTTGGAGTGACAGCCAAGGTGATGGGCCAATTCTGTCACTTTCCAAACTAATGATGAAAGGACAGTCTGGCCAACAGCTCAAGCCCCTCGGTGGCAGCCATGCTGCCTCCCTCACATCCTCTAGTTTAACTTCCCAAGGGTCTGAGCTGCCTGGACTTTTTTGAAAGCTGCTTTCTGGGTAGTGAGTTCCTCATCACTAAAATGTATGCAAACCGGCCGGGGCTGCACAGGGCACTGGGGCAGCAGATTTGAAGGGCTCAGAGCATTCCTGAGCCTGGGTACCCGTGCGGTTCTCTAGCTGGACACTGGGAGGCTGGACTGGCCGAGGGGAGCCCCTCCCCCCTGGAGCCTCTTCCCTAAGGCTAGAGGAGTCAGCTGAGAAGCGGGGTTGCCCGTGCAGGACTCGGATGCTTTGTGCCCATTTCCCTGGAGAGAAGGAGGGTGTGCAGGGGTGTGTGTGTGTGTGTATGTGTGTGCTGGTGTGCATCATGAATGAGTGTGAGGAGGTGTGTGAATATATGAGCGTGTGCCCACCCATGTGTGAGAGCCACCCCCACCCCATGTGCAGTTCCTGTTAAGATCCTGGTGCCTCAGACCTCACATTCGGACTGGCCAGTGCAGTCCTGTCACCCCACTGACCACGCAGAGTGGACTGTGGTGGGACAAGGGACCTGAGGGACCCGAGGGGAAGCATGCCAGGTCAAGCACACCGACCTCCGCCCCCCTACTGGCTCTCCTGGCAGCTCCCCGCGGTCATGGGAGGAGACAGCTCTTGGAGGGCCATGCCTCCTGCTCCGGACTCCCAAGCCCGGAGCACCTGGTCTGAAGTGTTGGGGTGGGCCCAGTGCCCCTGGCAGGGCAGGCCGACTATTTGGGGAGCCCTCTGAGCAGCCTGGCACACTAGGTGCTAGTTGTTTCTTTACTTCTCTCCTTGGCCTCCAACCCCTGCTCAGGTGTGTGTGTGTGTGTGTGTGTGTGTGTGTGTGTGTGTGTCCGTCCATGGACTCTCTGTCTCTTTCAGTTTGGTTCTTTCTGTGCAGACACCTCTCTCCTTCCCGCCTCCCTCCTCACAGCAGCCCCACTGCCACCTCTTAGCTCAGCTGCTTTCTCCCTGTCCTTTCACATCTGAGACCCCTCACTCCCCGTCTGGATTGTCTTCCTGAGTCCCAGACCTCCTCACCTCCGCTCCTTTCCCTTGGAGTCACTCCCTGTCCGGCGTGCAGGTAGCACCTCTGCTCTGTCATCACCCCCGTCGTCGCCCGGATTCAGCAGAACTGAGACCCCTGGGCGCCGGGCCTGCCACCTTCGCCTTGTTTACCCAGCTCTGGCCAACACACAGCTCTGGCCCTCCAGCTCTTTGGAGGTATTTGAGGCAGTGCCCTGCACTTTCAGCTGCTTGGAGGCTGTGTACTGTGTGTGGCCAAGTGCTGGGTGGGGGGTGGGGGGTGGTGGGTGGGGGGGCACCATCCCATCCCCATGGACCCGCCACACCGACCGCTCAGGATGGAGCCTGGTCTCAGGGTGCAGAGAATCTGCTCAGTAGCCGCGCTGTGCTGTCCTGGGCCAGGGCCACGGCCATGGGCTAGAGCAGGGGAGCCTGCGGGGCTGCTGCAAACCCGGTTTCCCTCCAGCACCAGTGGAATCCCCGCTATAATTAGAAGCGAGGTGTGCAGAAGCAGGCTGCCTGTGAGGGTGGGAATATGCTCATGAATAAACCAGCTGCCCTCCCCAGGGGACAAGGAGCTGTGGCTGGGCTCCTGGAGGGCGCAGGCCTGAGGTCTGATCTGTGAGCTGGGCCGTGGGCCCTGGAGCCACACAACTTCCCCTTCCCTCCCCTGCATGCTGTTGGGGAGCTCCCTGGGTCCCAGCCCCTGGCCGGCCAGCCTTTCTGGGTGCCTGCTGTGTACCCACCTACAGCCTGGCTTTCGAAGCCCCACCATCTGGCCCGGCCTCCTTTCCCGGCCAGATCACACACTAGCGTCTGTCGTGCCCCCGACCCCCACCTTTATCCCCTTCGCTCCTAAACTTCCTCCGCCTCAGAAGTCCTTTGCAGAGCAAGAATGCTTTTTGTAGGCCTTGTCACCCACCACCTAGCCTACCGCCCAACCCACCACCCACACCCACCACCCACACCCACCTACGGCTTGAGCCTCCCTCCAGCCACGCCTCCTCCTCAAGGTCAGACATGGCCTGGTCAGCTTGGGGCCCCTCAGACTCCCCGTCAGGGGCCCTGGTCGATTCCTCCCCCGGTCTCCTAAACCTGAAACCCTGCCCTTCTCGCCCTTCACAGTACCCATCAGCCTGCTGCGTCGTCTTGTACGTTGTATTATGTATTGGGATGATAATACTGGCTATTTTACATTCTTTCCTCCTACTGAGTCTTTGGAACTGGTGTGTATTTAACATACTCACCACATTGCAGACACTGGTTTCAGTCCCGTGTGGCTCCCGGCTGCTGTCCTGGACCACACAGCCTGGGAGGCCCCCGTCTTCTCCTCTGCAGGCAGGGAAACTGAGGCTGGGAGGCAGTCTTGCAGATGAGAGTTTGCAGAGCAGGTATGCTCTTTGTAGGCCAGGCCGCTTCTGTTCCGCTGCCCAGAATAAGGAACGGCCCTGCCGCCGTGGCTCAGTGGTTGAGCATCAACCTATGAACCAGGAGGTCATGGTTCCATTCCCAGTCAGGGCACATGCCTGGGTTGTGGGCTTGATCCCCAACGTGGGGCATGCAGAAGGCAGCCGATCGAT